ATCTTCCTGTCCCTGCAAACCAGAATGTTCAGTATTTCTTGGAAATTCTTTCTGTTGAGTGTGATATGAATTTCCATATCTCCAGTCTCTATATCGGTTTTACAAATGAGGGCCTTTACTTTGTTTACTTCTCCAAATTTGGCGAAGAAGGCCCCCATTCTGTCATCCGAGATGTCTACAGGTGCCCCATGGATTGTCCCCTTTGTCCTACGGGTATTCAGTTTGTAAGTGTAGAGTCTTTGTGCTCAAAATGCTTTCCGCTAATTCTTTTGTCTGCTCTTCCAACTGTAGAAGAATGTCCCATAAGGCATTTGTTCTTCGAGCCAGTATTTTTGGTATAATGTGCAATGCCTTCAGTGCTTCTTCCATGCTTTCTCTGCTGATGCCAATCAATTTCTGGGTTTTAACATCAGAAGTCAGCAGGGATATGATGCACAGACTTACTGCATCAAGTGCCTCGGGAATGATCAAAAATTCATTGTCTTTGAAAGACTCTTCATATTTTAGCCGCTGGTTGACATAAAATGCATCATCTTTTTTCAGCTGCCTATTTTCATACCAAGCCATTTTAGCTGGTGACACCGGTTTTGATACCAGTGTATCTGCACTATTGTTTTTGTCAACCATGGTGGTGTAAAAAACCACCACAATCAAACAAATAAGTGCTTTCTTTTTTTTTTCTTTTTAAATTATTTAACAAAAAGCAAAAACAGTCAAATAAAATGGAACAAGAACATGGCAAACCAATGACAATAAGCAGTTCAACCAAATATGAAAACGGTAAATAAAACAGGGGGAGAGTAAAAATACCGAAAAGGAAATAAACAGAAAAGAAACCAAAAATGTGTACAAATAATATGCACAAAAAATAAGCAAAAAGGAAAACTGGAAAAATTGAAAATGGTTCGGAAAATCAAAAAGTGACAAAATAAACTTATCTGTTCAAAAAGCAGTAATTCTCATGCTGGTCATAATTCCACAATGAAAAAAAAAAGGCAATAGGCTAATTAGGCAGCATATTGCCCCCACTTACAATAGTGTCCAATGTATTTATGAGGACTGGAACATACCTATTACTGTTCATAGGTACAGTATATAACACCTCACATGAGCGACATCTTCAAAAGTCCAATTGTGATGTAGCACATCTGTTATCCTCATTACAAGCCAACTGCAACCAAACTCCACTGCTGTAGAGATATCATTTCTTAAAACATTGCTAGATGTAACCATCAGTTCTATGCTAACAGTTTCTTCTCTCACAGATGGAACTCTTTTCCAGCTTCTTACTTTCCAGTCAACTTTGATCTCTAAAAATTTAGATCCAATGTCAATCCTTATGTTCTTAATTCTTGTTCATTTATTGTTCTCTCTCCCCAATAAGGTTTTTCTTTTTCCAGATTTTTTCATCATTATAGCAATAAATTCAAACATTTAACCACATTTCATAAATATTTCTATCAGCAAAAGGACCTTTAAATGTTTAACATAACCCAACCTTAATTATTAGCACTGTCCCTGCATCAAAATCTAATGTTTGACCGAAACCAAGTAAAATAAGCATTAAAATAAACCAGACCAAAACCAAGTAAAATAAGCATTAAAATAAACCAGACCAAAACCAAGTAAAATAAGCATTAAAATAAACCAGACCAAAACCAAGTAAAATAAGCATTAAAATAAACCAGACCAAATCTGAATTTAATAAAGATGATGTCAGACTCAAAAATGCAATTATTTCAGCTGTTAATCATTAATCAAAATTTATTGATATTTGAGAAATTATTTTAAAACTCAGTGGCAAATGATTCCATTTCCTTGAAGAATTTATTAATTGATTCATTTTTCTATGACTTATCAAAACCCTTTGCAGGTTATTTAAATCCAGAAAATATTTTTAGATTTTCAGAATTTTTTTTCTTTTGAGATCATAATGGTTTAGGGATACAAATTTTACTAGTTAATCCATAGCTGTGGGAAAAGAGGTGTATCTATATCTAATAAGAATTTTATAAACAAACAAGAAATTATAATGTGGATATAAAATGGGGGGATCAATTCTACATTACAATCAATATACAAGTTTATCCCTTAGTTTGTGGCCAAAAATTATGAATTTATAAATTGTACATACAGGACTAGTTAAGAATTCATAGAGAAACTGCTTGATTGATTTGTTTTCTACAGCTTATCAAACTTTTTCAGGTTATTTAAAGCCAGAAATTATTTTTGAGATAATAATGGTTTAGTAATACAAGTCTTACTAATTAACCTATAGTCGGGGGAAGAAGAGGTGGATTCATTCCTTTTCCCAAGGGTATTTGCACATAAGTAAATATAACAAACCCAATTCTGAGTCATTATCCATTACACCACCTGCACATCCAAGCTTAGAAGACCTAGTATTCCCAAGTGGTCACCCATCTAGGTACTGACCAGGCTTGATGTTGTTTAACTTTGGTGATCATATGGGAACCAGAGTTTCAACATGACGTGGCCGTAAGCCAATTCATTAAAGAATTCACAAGAATAGAATTTTTTAATCCACAGATTAAACTACTTTTTGTTTGTATTTCATTTATAACTGTACCGGACACAGCATAAAAATATTAAAATTTACTTATTATTTAAACATAAATTGAAAGAGTTTCAAAATTTGTATAACCCTTCCTAACATTCTTTTGTTTTTTTGTTTACAACTTAATTAATTATAGCAGCACAAACAAAACATGATTAAACAGTCACATTGAAAATGGCTGGTATGGAGAATTGTGAGTGGATAAAATAGTTGAATGCTTGCAGAAAAACTGCTTTTAATGTATGGGAAAGTTTTAAGATGAGCAAACAACCATTCAGCTTGTACGAGGTTTAGTCACTGAATCTGTCAATAAGACAATCAAGAGAAATTCACAAAAAGCATGAGGAAGATAGCAAAAGAGCAAAAGATATTTCAGATAGGTCGCTAAGAAGGAGAGTAAAAAAGCACTTAGAGCTAAAGTCTCAGGGTTTGGCCTACTTCCGTTGGTTTAATGTCACTCTTGGTGTTTCTTGAAGAAGGAGCAAATGTTGGAGAGAGATATATTGCATTGGTGGTTAGTCACATTTGAAAGTCACCATGTCTTCCCTCAAGATAGAGCTCCTGCACACACAGTCAATTTGACACAAAATAGGTTCAGGAGATATTTCTGTAGATTTTTGGACAAATCAATTTGGCCTCCATCAAGCCCTAACGTTAATCCTATGGACATTGTGATGTGGCCTATATTGGAAAATGATATTTCACATATCTCATATACAAGTTTGTCTGACTTGAAAGAAGCTCTTATGGCATCATGATACAATTTGAGCAAGCAGGTGGTTAAAAGTCATGCATTTGAGAAGAAATTAAGGACTATTGTGAAAGCAAAGGATGGCCATTTTGAAATGTAAATATATGTAAAATATTGGCAATAAATATAACAACCAGCCTCTAAACTTTCATTATCTAAAGCCTAAAAATTTTTATTTTAGGATAAAATGAATAATGGGTAAATGTATATGCCACATCCAGTAAATACAAGAATTAAGTTATAGAAAATCATTACAATTTTATTATTGAGGTCAACACCAAAAAGGCAAGAATTTTGAATCAAGTGGTAAATGTTCAAAATAAGAATCAAATATTCTGGAACATAAGTCAAAGAATTTTTTATGTAAAAAATTTAAAAAAATATTTACTCAATAATAAACTTAATTATAAATACTTTTGAGATATTTTGCATAAATTATAAATACTTTTGAGATATTTTGCATAAATTATAAATACTTTTGCTCTTGCTTTTTTTTTTAACCTTTACTTATCTGTAGACAAGGCTTAAATTTCTAGACATAAAATTTCAACTGATATGAAGCTAATAATGAATTTCAAATAACAGAATAATTACCTTTAATAATCAGATAGTGTAACACATTTCAAGCTTTCATAAAATGATAGAAAAGAAGAAATCACTTAAGACAATATCTAAATGCAAAGTCCATTCACATAAACATTTAAGGAGCATCAATTTAATCACACTTCAGTAAATAATCTTAATTAAAATGAAAATGTTTAAAAGTTTCATAGATAAGTAATGAACAAAATAGCTGTAGCTAATAGCAAATTCTATGAAGAAATTGCAGCATACAAGTTGAATTTTTAAGCTTAAAATAATCTTTCCAAAACTAGAAGTTGATTTATATGGCAGGTATAAAATGCAAACCGTTACCTCTGAGTTGTAAAGAAGTGGGACAGCACTTACTGTACCTCCAGCTGCCACAAATCCCACTAAAACTTATGTTTCGTGAATATATTTGGCATATTAACACAGAAATTAATATAAAATAATAAAATATTAACACAAATTCAGTATTCTATAGGTTGAGGTTGATGGCATCAATTGTTTACATTACTTATGCAAATGGCGGATGAGTGATACTGCATTTTACAATAACATACCATATGTAGCAGTAATATGAAAAAATTACCTGGTATGATGTTTAATCTACAGTATTAATATTTTATAGGAGTTGATGTTGACTTTAACGGGCTTATCAGTAGACCTGACAAATTTTAAATGTTCACTAAGTTATACCAACACAATATATGGTACCTACCTGTGTGTATTGCAGGTTGTTTGCTATACAACGCATATAGAAAGATATTACGGCTACTGTCTCAATATACAGGTAAGTGGTGTGATCTTATATAGTTTTGGCACAGGTTATCATATACTGTAGCCTAACTTCATTTACCAGTAGGCCTATCATATGTTATTTGGTTTCGACCTATATGGTAGATATAGGCCTAAATCAAAATTTTGAGCCAAAAATCTTGAGGTTGACTTGTATGCCACAATTTACAGTAGGTTATTTTATATTACGTCTATCAAACTGAACTTTTCTTTACAAAAGGTTTTGATATTTCACAAATATTTTGATGTAAAAAATAAAAAAAAATTCAAAAAAAAAAATTATTTACTTACCTAAGCGGAGTAAAGCATTCATTTCAGATTTCTCTTCTTCAATTGAAACAATGACTGAAAATAAATTATCAATATATAAAATAAGAAGCAGACATTTTCTCTTCAGAACAAAATTATCAAAATAAATATCAAAATATTAAATGATATGCAATAGACTTTACAATAAATTGAAAATTTTAAAAAAGCCTTGAGTCTTAGTGGCTTTATTGCTTTGCTTTGGGATGAAATGATTAAAAAAAAAAAAAAAAAAAAAATGTAAATAACATACAATGCGCAAGAAAATGTTTCTGGTTTCATATGTAATACATATATTTAACCTCACCCCACTAACTGATTTTTATGGTCTTTGTCATTGGATTTGTAGACAGAATCTTCACAGTGATAACTCCCAACATGGCAGCAGTGCTTCTATACAGATACACATCTCACTGTCAATTTACTGGCAAATAAAAAGTGGTTTCACTGTTGAAGTGCTTCTAAATGTACAAGATATATTTTCTAGAAAATCCTGACTGCCTTTTGTCAGAAGGTAATTAGGGGACTGATTAATTTGGAATGTTTTGGTCACTATCCTGTTCAGGCACATCTTGTACTGAGTATCTGAATATCAACGATATAGAGAAATGTTGAACAATGTAAATATAACTAAAGATGGTTTTTCTGTTATCTAACATAGTGAACCATTAACTTAACACTACAAGCATACTGTGATATAAATCAATAGATTATTAACTGAATTACATCTAAAGTCAGTTTAACTTGGAAAGAGAGATCAGCTGACAAAGGATCTGATACCTGTCAGTAATTTCTATCTGATTAATGGACAGTACAAGCAACAAGTGTACAATCACAAGTTTATTATGATTTCTAATGCACCCAGAAGTCACATACCAGAATCTTCAAAGGTACACATTGGTAACTTAGTGTACATATGTTCCAATCTTAGCAAGATGCACATTAGATACTTAGTTGTTTCTATGGATGGCTCTAACTGTACAAAGGTGGGTTGAAAAGTTCACAGGCTGACTATGCTAAAGCTGGGAAATCTTGCATGCATTAATTTCAACTCTTCTTGTTAATAACTGCATTGTTTCTTTCCAGGTAAACTAACATCTGATTGTTCAAAGAAGACTGTTCATTATGTTGGTCAAAAAAATTATCAAAAGCAGATATGCCATCATCACTACCATATTGGTTCCTGGCCAAGTGTTTTTTTTTTGTTTTTGTTTTTCTGGGATGATAGATGATAGTTAAACAGGAGAATAGGGATGGTGATCAACCAGTTCAAAGTCACATACGGCAGCCATTGAAACCAAGAACTTGTGTGCTAGAGCATTGTCCTTTTGTCAGTTTTCCAGGCTGTTTGGTCTTGATAGCCTTTCCTAACTGCCTCAGCAAGTTGGCATAGTACTCTCTATTGATGGTGTGACCCTTATAAAGATAGTCAATATACACAATGCCTCAAACAATATCAGATTTTCCTGTGATGAGATCAGTCTGGTGCACTTTTGATCAGATGCCAGAAGACATGGCACCCACCGAGCAGAAACCTTTGTCATGCCAAGTTCATTGTGCAGAATATTCTCAACTCCCTCATGGGATATGCTAATACAATAGAAGTCGCTACTTGTTACTTTTGAAGTCTTTGAACAGTCAGATGTCAGTTTACTTGGAAAAAAAAATAAAACAATGCAGCTATAAGAAGAGTTGAAATTAATACATGCAAGATTTCACAACTCGGGCATCACTCCTTTTCAGTCAACCCTCATAAAATGTTTGGCAGTTCTCAACTGAAAGTTCTATTGCTTAGCAATGAAATTAGCACACTATAAATTGTGCCTCTCATGACATTTTTACTTATGTTGATGAACATGATGATTCCAAGTTGAACTCCCAAGCCAGTCACCATTCGTCTAACACATAATAAAGTACTTTATGAACCTCCCTTTGAAATTACAGAGTCAGTCAGTAAAGATAACCTTCATCACTTTGTATGTGACTTCATTTGCTGGACAATATCCTACCACTGAACAAAAGTGTGTTTGAATTTCATAGTTATATTGTCATATCCTGCTATAGCAACAGAAAAGAATTTTGAGTGAAATTAACAATAAGAATATTGTAATTGAGAGGCCTTGCAAAAGAATGCAGTGGAAAGGGAAGTAATATTAATAATGCAGTGTGCTAAAGGTTAATACAAACAATAATAACAGCTGGAGTTGTTCCTACAGATTATGACACACTTGTTCATCCATCTGTTGACATAGTCAAGTCATGACAGAAGGGTCTGTTACAGATCTACCTATAATTAGAAATGCCTGATATACCTTAATGAAATGTATTAAGAGCTTGTACCCTTGTGATTGTAATGTTATGTTGCTCTACATATTTAAAGACTTGTTTTGTTCAAGTTAATATCAATTTTTATTGTGCTCAGGGAGTGTTTAAAATATTTATATGTATTTACACATCCATTAAGTTTATTTGTTATCAGAGTATTATTGAGGGAAGAAGGTTGTCATGCTAATTCATGCATAAATTTATTAGCATGCACGATACAATCATTGGTCAGTAGAAAGGTATTACATCATAGATGTAACACTTCCTATTACCTGGCTAAGACTTACAGCCTTTGTTATTTGATTTATACATAAAAACTTCTGCTTCTTCACAGCAACAACTACTAACAATGTTTGTTATCTTTTTCAAGAAATAGTGACTTTTTTCTTTTTATAAAATATAATCTCAAAAACATTAATATAAATATTTAAAGTTTTAAACAAGTCATTACAAATAGAAGAATGATATATTCCTTTAAGATAAAGTAATATTTTAGGAAATTTATTCAAAAATGAAAATTTTTTGTTTTTTTAATCAAATTCACCCCAAGCAAGGCAGTAAAGTCATTAAGACACAAGGGGTTATTGGGCGTGAAGAAGTAGAAAACAGAAACATTATTAAGGAGTGAGAACAATAGAAGAATAATCAAGAAGACAGTAAATAACAATTGATGTTGCATTTAAATTTTTGAAGATCAAAAGTTAGCTGGAAAGCATCAAGCTGAAAGGGATTTTACAAGCAAAAAGTGAAAGAGAACCTCTTAGTATAGAACTTACAGTTACATCTAAAGTCAATTCAATTAGAAATTGATAAGCCCTTGTTGACAATCTACTATTGTGCTTAAATTCATAAAGTGTAAGTACCATAGTGAAGAGGTCATCTGACAAATTACCATGAAAGTATTTATAAAAAAAAGGCAAAGGAAAGCAATCTTACTGTGGTGGGAAAGTGACTGAAGCTGAGATGCCAGATTAGGACCAATAATATTGCTAATTCTTTTTTGGATTTTCTCAAGAATCTCTAAATATATAGCAGAAGCAATATTCTAAGCATGGTCAAATGGTAGACTTATAGATATGTAAAATAGTTTCTGAAGAGAAAAATTGTCTTGCACAACACATTGAACAAACTTTCTTAGCAACTGACCTAGCAATGGATTCAATATAATCTTTCCCCTTCATGTCAGCCAAGGATGTTAATCTGAGAAGACACAATGAGTCACCCATCTGGAGGTTAGCATTAGCCATACTGACAGAAGGCAGATAGTGGTTTCTTAGATAATTAATGGAAAGCAGTTTTGTTTTGGAGGCATTAATAGTAACAAGCCATTCTTTGCCACGGTTAACAACAGGCTGTACATTGTTTTTAAGATCAGCTGCCAATTTGATTTTATTGATCTGATCCGACTTACTATTGAGACAAGTAGCTGAAACTTGGAAGAGCAATAAAAAAAAGAAACCTTTACCAAATTACAATATAAAAAAAAAATTAATTTGATTTGTTTGATATTTCCCACCATTTTGAAGACAATTTTACAAACTTATTAAAAATAGGAACAATTACAGTAAATAAATTTAAGAAAAAGTAAAAGGCCCAAAATACTGAATGGAAATTATATTTTCTGTTGTTAACTAAGAGATATAAGTAATTTCTAAAAAAATAATGCATTTTTTTATTTATTAATCTGACAGATTTTATAACTTTAATGTTATTTTTAGTTGACACCCATATTTGAGAAGACAATCCATTTATTCTTTTTTTAAACATATCTTAATAAATCTTAATAAATAAAAGAAAAGAAAAAAATGATGCACCCTCCGGCAGGATTGAAACCTGCATCCTACTTTTCAGGAGAAACCATCATTAAATCTGACATGCCTTAGACCAACTAGACCATGTAGGATCTTACCAATCAAGCAAAGCTGAATAAGTGCAAATTATTCCCAGATTCTCAAAAGTTCATATCTGCTTTCATATGTGAGCATAAACAAAGCAACTTCTAAAGTAAAGGTCACTTTTATTTATTAATCTGATAGATTTTATCACTTTAAATGTTATTTTTAGTGGATACATATACTTCAGTAGATGCTCCATTTATTTATTAAACAGTTTATTTATTTTCATCCACCGACCTGAATATTCAAGAAAAAAAGATCTAAGTAAATAGACATTATTATTATTATGATGATTTGACATTTAAAAACGTACAGAGAACCAACCTCATAATCACTTCACAATGCCTCACACTCTAAGAATAGTCACAGTAAAATAAATCAGCATCAAATAACCTTAAAACTTTGAAATTTCAATTGTACACAATGAAGAAAAAGAAACAAATTCATCTTGTTCAGGTCAATCTGATAGGTGTCATCACACAAACTGAATTAAACAGAAAAAGCAAAATGATCAGTATACAGTGAGACACCTGCCTATTCACATTTCAGCATTTGCAGCTTCACACACTCATGGATTTTTCTGATGAACATATGTACAAATTATTCGCTGAGAACTCCCTCGATTGACACATATTTTTTTGATAGAACATATTTAAAATATTCTTGTATAATTTTCCTGTTATTTAAGTGACTTAAAACATATAACAGTCCATTTTTATGGTAAAATTTGGCAGAATTGTACATCTTCATTGTAAAAAATAAATGCAAAAATATGTGTAGTGCTTGGGCTTTGTTCTTTGTTAGGAGTTGCAGCTGGGGTCTTAAAAGTGGCTTATGCTAAGTCATCACAGTTCTGTTTTTAGAAAATGTTTTAAACTTTATATTTTAAAGTCTTGTTACACATATTTTATACAGTATTTTCAATGGTTGTATCGATCTATGCATAATTAAAAATATTGTATGTATGAAAGAAAATTTATGCTAAGTGTATGGTCACCAATACTTTTTTTCAAAGAATTTTTAAAAAGGGTCTGAAATGTTTCTAAAGTGTTTAGGATGAAAGTTTGAGGCATATGGGGTTTTAAAAATCAAAATAGTTACTTATAAGCACTTTGGCGGGGGGGTTACAAGTATCTATGGATTCTAACTCTTTGCAGCTGGTTCTGGTCCCTAACCCCCACAAATACGAGGGACTCACTGTATTTAGAATTCACATTACATTTAAAGGTCATAGTTGAACCACATAGGTTCTGAATGTTGGATATTTTGTGGTACTTTCATCTTAATGAGAATATTTTCAAAACAAACTTACCTTGTGGTTTAATAACACTGCAAAAGAATAAAAAACAATTAAGAGAAAAAAAATTAATTCACACTATTTAAAATATAAAATGGTTGACAGATAAATAAGGTTTCCATTCCTTTAGAAAAAATGAAAAAAAAAAACATGATTTGAAGCCTTGGTCAAGTAGATATACTTTTTCAGTGCTCACAAGGGCTTTCTACTGCTTTTCTACATCTGTGACTTTCAATTGTCATATAACCTTCCAATTCCAAAAATGAGATTCCTGAGCTCTACATTATACATAACTAACATGATTAACAAACACTATTACTCAATAGGGCAGGTCAATTTCGGAATCGTGGTACTGCACTTAATTTGAAAGTTGGTGTCTGATATAATAAATAATGAATCAAAATATTTTTTCAAAATTGTTACTGTTTTTTGAGGAAACAAATTTAAAAACTTAGTTTAAGTTCAAAATTAGTGTTGGAATTTCATTCTGGTGATCAGTAAAAGATTTAGCGTTATCAAAAACTTCTGTACCCTTATGGAAAACAAATGTGTAAATGTCATTTAATAAAATGTTTTCCAATTGCAACTTTTACTTGTTCTCAATAAATCAAAGAAAAATAAATCAGAATTATGAATAATAAAAAAATATTCACTTTATAAAAGTAAAATGGAAATTAAATACAATAATATATTTAGGTATTGGCCAGTGATTAAAACTGATTCCTTTTTTTTTATATGGAATTTAGGGTGTGTTATTTTTTTAGTGGAAAAAAAAATTAGACTAATTCTCAAAAAACAAAAACACCATAAAATTTCAAAAAATAAATTAAATTTCTTCATTTTAAATCAACAATAGTAAAATAAATATTTCATTTATGAATCTTGTACCAAAATTTTCAATGGGTATGATTTAAGTATATTGATGGAACTACAAAAAGCCTTATTGCTTTTACTGGTTCTCTAGGGAAACTTTGTGGAAATGATTACTAGGATTTGTTGCAGGTAGAATTTAACACTATCCATGGCCCTCTGGATAACTTCTATCTTATCGCAGGGGCAATGAAAGATTTAAGTGGTGATGACCAAAGAATGCTCTTAGAATATACAGTGGAAATTTCTCAAGGGAAGTGAATCCTAAATTTGCTGCCTGGAAAATTAGGTCTCTAAAGCAAGCATGATGGCTAACTTTATCTATCAGGTTAATGTGTTTAAGGACCAGAGGTGCCTATCCACCAGAATTCTATCATAAATTGTACAGACTTATGAAATTTATAATTGAAATATATACAGTTGATTTTAAATTATTTTAATTTCAAACCAACTAAATGCATATATTTCAATTAATAATTAATTCCATAGCCACCAACTGTATATCTTCAACATGATCAAGAGAAAAAATCAACAATCAACCAAAATACAGAACATCGCATTAAAAAATTTACAGCACAAAAATATTTTAGTTTCAAAAATAGCAAGCCACCAGAGAAGAGATTAAAAAAAAAATTACATTCAACTGAAGCAACACACTGGAAAAAATTCTGTTATGCGTTTTGTGGCTCTTGGGACTTGTATAGGGTGAACATCATTGTAAACAAAAAAAAAAAACAAAAAAAAAACAAAAAAAATAGTGGTTCCAGGTAAAGAAAATAGCATCATAGTCTATTATTAGTTAACACTGTTAAAAAGAAAAAAAAAAAAAAGACATTAATTAAATGAATTCTCCTGACACTTATTTTTACTGAAATATATTTTGTAAAGGAAATTTACACAGAAGAGAAATATTTAGAAAAATATTTGCCAAAGTTTTATATTGGACCAAGCAAATAAACAGTATCAAAAGGAATGTATTTTCTTGGCACTATTAATATATACTCCATTGGTAAATTTATTTTCACAATTTTCCTAAAACCCTAACATATAAAACTGAATCTATACATTTTTTTTCTTGAGAATTAACAACAAAAAATTGTAAAGTTATTCCATGAATTCCATATGGAGTATTAACCAATTCTCTATGATAGACAGTGACAGACTGGCCAGGGCGTCAGCTTGTCTGATGGCAAGTGGGCCTCTGATGTCAAATAAAAACGCAATAAAGAAACAAACACAGACAACTGTTTTAGTAATAAAAAGGAATAATAATTTCGTAAAATCATCTACACTATCAGTTATTCAAGTCCAATGTGAGAGGACATTTTCAATGCTAAAGATCATAAAGACAAAGTTAAGAAATTTGCTTTCTGAGGATAATTTGGAATCATCCATGTTGCTATCCATTGAAAAGGAATTGTTAGATAAATTGGATGTAGAAGCAATTATTGGTAAATTCACAGTCATCAAGTGAACACACAATTGCTCTTAAATAGAGTGAACTGCATGCAATGCTCTGCTGTGCTTTTGAACTGTTAATGCGTAAATTGTGCAGTAAACTATTTAAAAACATCAACCAATTACTTTAAAATAAAAATTAAAAATTAAATTATAACATTCTGTATTTACATTTGGTAATCTACTTGCCAATAACATGTTCAGTACATGTATGCTGTAATTAGTAAGAGATACGCAATTTTACCCCACAAAAATTTTAATTGCACCCTTTTTTTTCATATGTATTTTTGAAAATTAAATGATAGCATTGTAATTGTGGATGGGCCCTGTTTGTCTCCTGACAACCAATATTTTTAGACCCAGTCTGCCACTGATGATAGATATTTTTGTCATTTGCAGTTGAACTCCAGAACTGCAATGATAGAAAATCATATGTGCTATAGTTAATGGATTAATAGACATTAAATTAGTAACTAAAACAAATTCATATCTATATCAGTAAATGTTTTTAATTCCAACAATTACTTACCTTGTTGAGATATTAGTCGTATTGGTTTGTACTATTAAAGGACCTGAAAAGAAAACAATGAAATAATTTAGATTCGGTGTAGAATGATATCTTAAGTAAAATCAACAATTTTAGTTGATTAAGGGCTTCATTTTTAATTCATGCACTCATCAATGAGTTTATGTAAAAATAAAATTTGTCTCAGAAGATTTCTACTTTTTCTGACATTCAATCTAAGTAATAAACTTTTTCCCTCTATTGTTCCTAGATTTTTTGTAAATGAACATCTTTCCTCATCAACTATTGAAGCTTTATCTGAATTTCTTCAAAGGTTATAGGTTTTTCTTGCATAGATGCAGGACCACATTACACTACAACTGTTTTCATTTTAAGCAAAGCAATAAAAGCCAGTATGATGCAAGGAGTTACTGAGAATGAAAGTGAGAAAAAAACATTAAAGAGAGAGGATAATAAAAGAACAGGATTCAATAACATAAAGGATGATGATTGACATTGCATTTAAATTTCTGAAGAAAATTGACTGGAAAACAAGAAGGTAGAAGAGAGTACCACAAGTGTGGGAAAAGAAACTGTTAGCATAGAATTTATGGTTATGCCTTGCAATTTCAAATGTAAAATGATGAGACCTAGCTGTCAATCTAGTACTGCACTTAAATTCATAAAATCAAAATCCACTGCTGTAACATGGCTTTTCACGGTCATTGTCTGATGAGTTTTCCTCTTTAGAGGAAAACTCATCAGACAATGATCATGAAAAGCTATGTTACAGCAGTGGAAAAGTGACTAACACCAGGATGCCAGGTCAGGACCAATAATATTGCAGATTCTTCTTTGGGGCTTAACAAGAACCTCTAGATACATAACCGAAGCACCAGACCAGATATGGCAACAATATTCAATGCATGGACAAATAGAAGACTTATAATGGTGTAAGATAGATTCTGGCAAGAAAAAATTGTTGAACCAACTTTCCTAGCAGTAGAGATAGCAATTCATTCAATATAATCATTCCACATTATGTTAGTGGAAAACATTAGCCTGAGAAGAGGTGCAATGAGTCACTCTTCTGGAGGTTAGCATCAGTCATGCTGATGGAAGGCAAAAATGTTCTCTAAGATTATTAAAAGAGAGCAGTTTCATTTTGGAGGTGTTAAAATTAACAAGCCATTTCTTGCCCCAGTTAACAACAGATTAATGGTCATTTTTGGTGCCAGCTGCCAATTTGACTTTATCAAACCTATCAGATTTACGATTTAAACAGGAATAAATAGTTGTGCTATCAGCATAGATACAAAGTCTAGAACTGATGATATTGGAAAGGTTGAGGAAAATTTGGTGATAAAAAGAACTTGATAATAACAAGACAAAGATTTTCATGTCAAAGCCAAGTAAAAGTCCTCATTCTGCTTGAAAATTAGTATTTAGCATTATTTGTAACAAATAAAGTCTTAACCAATGTTAATGATAGTAAAAGAAAAAAGTCAATTATTCTGTTGCCTAATTATAATTACCAATTCCTTTTTTGGTTAATATCAAACTCTTTCCAGAATATCACCCACTTTAGATGTGTGATATTAGCCTAGAGCAGTCAAAATAGTTTCATGCCTAGTATATGGAGTTTGCTTCGATATTCAGTCATATTTTTGACATCATTTTTACCATAACTTTATTGTTATATGATTATAAACAATCATTTCAAGGCATCTTTTTTAGATAAATAAAATCAATTAAACAGACATCAATTTAACTAATTTATTTTGACTTGTTTTAACTTGTGAAAATTTCAGTTTTCCTATTTTAATTTTCTGATGAATTAAGTTAATGAGTAAGCACATGGTGAGTTCTCTGATAATAAAATATCCATAGAAATTCCCCTATCACATTGTTAAATATTTGAACTTAACAACTTTAATAAAATATTACAAATAGCAATCATAATTGGTTGTTATTTTAAGAAGTGAAAAGATTTGAGAGCAAAATCTTTTTCTATTTCACTGAAACAGACGTTAAACATTCCTTTCTTTCTCTCACAGAAATCATGTAATATCTTTTCCTCTCTTTCCAGGATTAAAATGGAATAGTGCATTATTTATGAGGTATTGGCAGGAGGCATTAAACACTTTTATCTTCCCTTATTTCTTTTTAGCCAAATTCCTATCTTACAAACATTTCTCTTAATAATAATTTAAAATTAATTCAGCAGACAAGGTTATTTTATTTTATTTATGGTAAATTAATTTTTGGCGATTGCCTTATTTGTTTTCCACCATTTGATACTGTGCATCTGAAAAATGGTGCTTTTTTTCAGTCACCATGACATATCTGTAATATCTGTTCTTATCAGCTTAATCCGATTGTCTTTCTCCACTTCTATAATTCTTTCTTTCTATCTTCCTTCCATTTTTTTCCCTGAAAAACCAAGTAATGTCTTTCCACCTCTTTCTACATGATCAAAACATGGAATAGTCCATTATTTATGAGGTATTGACAGGACATAACGGTCATGCTAACAAACAATTGGATTTAATTAAAATAAAAGGTAATTAGACAAACTGATGTTAATATAATTGATTTTCAGCATGATCTCATGCATATGTAATAATTACATTATAACAGAAAAATAAGGCAATTGTTATAATGCACACACGATTATTGTTCAAAAGATTAAGAAAAATTTAAATAGTAGATTTTTTTATTAACCATTTCAAACAATTACTGATCATTGCAAAAAAGAAACATTCCATCAAACCTTATTCAAAATAATTAACACTAAATAAGATATAAAGATGCCAACCTTCTTTTGGCAAAACCGCATCATAACACTTAAAATTAGTCATGTGTCACTAACCTATGAGAGGACTTATGGTAGAACCAAAAACAGCAGCCAAACTGGTGATAGCTGTGGCCGTGAATCGCTGATGTGATGGAAACCAAATTGAAGAGAGAACTGGAGGTGCTGCCATAACAACAGGACCAGCTGCACCATTGATAGCCTGACCTATGTTGATTAACCTGAAAAATCAAAGTGTGCAATGTTAAATTAATGGATTAAAAGTCATCTTAAATTAGTCTTAAAAAGGGCTCTTAAGTAGAATCCAATGATTATTCTCGATTTTATTTTTTTATTAGGATGAGAATAGAAATTTATGAGATCATTTTTTTGTTAGTTGATTTTTGGCAGACACTAAGTTTTAAGCTATTATTAACATGGTGTAGCATAATATCTGGGGAAAAATAAAGTATTGTTTTTTTTCATTTCATATGTAAATTCTATGTTCAACTTTGTTTAGTCTATCTACAAAATCTGGTAAATCAGTACCACAGGAATATATCAATAGAGCATTATCAATATATTGGAAGTATGTTGATTGTCTAGGGAAAATATTTTGGAAAGGACCAGAGTTGAGAAATTCTAAGAAAATACAAGAGGCAACCCCAGTAATAATCCAAATTTTTGTTTATAAAAATTATTATTAAATATGAAATAGCAGTAATTGGTGATGAAATGGCAAATTTTTATTATTTGAGATATTGATAGGGAGAAGTTTATCTTTCATTGTGCTAAATACTTTTTTAATTTTTTTTTTTAACTGAGATGTTAATGTAAACGGATTTTATATATAGTTTGGCAGTTATATTTGTTTCTCTTACTTTTTTTTAGCTAGCGTGCATGAATTTTTTTTTACATGAAAATTGCAGGAATTTACTCTATTACCTGTAATAATTGCCACAAAGACAATTTTCATAAAGGAAAATTCTGAAGGAATTTAAATAAAAATAATATATGAACACAAAAGGGACCTTCTACAAACAACACATTAAATGCATTAGTTGCTCAATATAACAAGATTGACTACAATTTTGATTTAAAAAATGCTATCCTAATTAAAAAGAAAACAATTTACTAAGACAAAAATGTTTAGAAAGTACATTAATCGCTAGATCATCCACAGTAAATTTACATCCATGTTCTTACAAGGTTTCACTATTCTTGGCAGATCTTTTATCATCATAATGTCGGTTATTTAATAACAAAAGTGATGGAAACATAAACAAAAAGAATCTAAATGACATTGAATAGATTAAATACCCAAAACACATAATTAAAAAAAAAATCATCTTTAAAATTCCTAACATCTCATAAACATAAACTTTGTCCAATGAAGTCCCAAAGGACAAAACACATCACATGGACATTTTCCCCTAAAATATGTATGTATGTAATGTATATATATATATATATATATATATATATATATATATATATATTATATTATATTGGTCATCCACAACTAGTTTCATACACACCAAATGTGTAATTATCAGGTGACCACTGGCAATCTTCTAATGTCATGGGTATTTATTACCCCAGGCTAACCAAGATATATATATATATATATATATATATATATATAATTCCTAGAAGATTGGTCCTGCAAGTACATATATATAAAATAGAGGCGAAAATATATTATATATATATTTTCAAGAGTCTGAACAACCATTAGACCTGTTATATATATATATGTGCCTCTTCAACCAATTTTGTCTATGAAAGATTCTGTACAACATGAACTGGACAAATGAGTAGTCTCAAACCTGTTTCTAATTCAGTCTCCACTTATTGTATCTCTGTCTCATTTAAGTTTTTTAATTTTATTAGAAATTCTGGAATTTGTTCTGTGGAAAACTTTTAGTGTCATTTGACATTGTGAGTTTATATATTAATGTGCCCCTTCAAAATACCTTGCATATTTGTACTGATGTTCTCTATCAGGGTCACCTGGGTCCTACTTTAATTCTAGAAGCTCTGTTTTTGGAGTTTATGCATTTAGCAACAGAGGGGTTGAGTTTAGTTTTGATAATATTATATATGCCCAAATCAATGGGGTCTCAATAGGTCGTCCCCTGAGCCCAGTATTAGCCAACATTTTTGTTGGATTCTATGAGAGACGTTTGTTTGAAAAATGCTGTAAACCCCATGTATATTTGCCTTATGCTGATGACACATTCTCTATCTTTGATTCCATCAACAACGCTTCAGCTTTTCACACCCAACTCAATTCCCTTCATCCATCTTTGGAATTCATCATGGAAGTGGAGAACAATTGTAACTTGCCATTCCTGGATGTTCTTGTTGAACGTAAAGATGTTTTTTTTTTTATTACTAGTGTAATACATTCACAAGTTTGTACACTAACTGGAATTCTTTTGTTTGTAGGTCCCATAAAATGAACTTGATATCTACCTTAGTCCAGTGCATGTTAATGATTTGTTCTCCCTGTACCCTTGATCAGGATCTTGAGAAAATTCACTGTATTTTTATGGACAAGGGTTTTCCTATTAACGTCATCAAGCATGTTATTGAATGTAAGATTAAACATTTCAAAAACCAGTAGTTTTTGGTCCCATGACTAGGTAGGAAGTATCAAATACTCGCTGACAGGGTGTCAAGATTGTATTACATCAGGTTTTTCGAATGTCAGGTTACATGTTTTTAAGATCAATCCGGTGTTTCCCTCTTTCGTCAAACATCGTCTGTCCTACTTTCAAATAATTCTATTATATATATAAGTTTATAACATGCTGAATACATAGGACAGACCAATCCGAAACTGGGCAATCAAATTGGTGAACATGTTCCTGCTGTGATAAGATCAGGTAATCTCTGTCACTTTTCAAGACAACCCAGTCTGTATATGACTCAGCAATAGGCCAGCATCTATTAAACAACCCCAACTGTGCTAATAAAAGTATGAAGATGATTCTTTTACTGTTCCTCACAGAGCTTAGTCGGCTCGTTATTTAAAGATTCTTCAGGCAGTTTATATTAAGATACATAAATCAGGTCTGTATGAACAAAAAGAGGATTTTATTCACTCATTATATTTAGTTGGACAAGTGTGAGTAATACTTTTTCCTTTTTAATACTCACTTGGAATATTTTTTTTTTTTTATTTGTGAATTGTTTTACATATAAATTGTTTTTAATCAGGTTCCAAAGTTTCTTCTCCACATTTAATAATTTTGCTTTTTCCATGAACATCAGCAATATTTAAGTACTTCTGTGATTGTAGTGATTATATTTAGTGCATGAGTAATCTCGGCGTTTATCTATAAAACTGATTCTATTGTTGAATGCAAGAAAAATTCTGCTTTGCAAGTCATTAGAATTTCAAAAGAAATAAAAAGCAATGTATTAAGAACTTGTTCTAATTACTAATGAGATGTTCCATTTTTATGGTAACACAAATGTAAAGTAATTTATCCTGTTACCATAATAATAATAATAATAATAAAATAACTCAGTAAGTAGTCGAGACCAAGCTATGCAACTGCTAATGTCATACTGTGTTTTATATTTATGATAATCATTAGCATATCATGTCTAATATGACTTTTAGAAAAGTGCCAGGTCTTTTTTAGAATACAGAAATATTATTCATTTATGAAAAGGATTATCATTTAAATTACTTATAAAATCTAAATGGCCTGTATCTTGAAAAGAGATATGCAATTGTTTCACCCTAATAGCATTGTATGCATTCTTCTACTTGAAAAAACAGCTACAAAATAAAGTTGACTAAGACAATGATAATAAATCAACATTAAAAATTATAATTATTTGTTTATTAATAGAAAATATAATAACAAGTCTATAAACAAAAGATATACAAAGAAAAAAGAAAAATAGAAATAAAAACATTTAATTAAAAAACCAAAAAAAGTGGCACTAAACAAATGGACAAAAAGGAAAAGAAAAAAACAACAACTATGGTGTCAGAAAATAGGACACTCTTTTAATGCCATGTCACCAATATTCATGAAAGGGTCATTTTTAACAGCAAATCATCTCTTTTTATATTTCTGCAAAATAGTCCAAGGACACACATCATTCAAACAATAATCTATATAAATATTATAATGAAGAAAATAATAAAAGTAATTATACCATGTCGAATAGGGCTTTTTTAGTGTAATGCATCGCAATCCAGTTCCGGCGAAACAAAAAAATGCTGTAATCACACAGGCTAAACGACAACCTGAATGGAAAAAAAAAATAATTGAACAAACATTTTAAAAAGTACTGGAAATGATAACACAGTAGTTTATAGTGTCTATGTTATTTAGAGAAGTTAATTGTAAGTCCCAGCTGGTTGTTTACGTCCACCAAATGTAGCTGAATCGACAAAAAATACAGCATTAATTTCTCTCATAGGCTCTCAAAGTTAATAGCTGTAAAACAATGTTGCAGGAATATCAAACAGGTTTGGAGCATATCAACAAGCTTGGTGATAAAACTCAAAAAAATAAATCACTGAGCACTAGTTATGTCTTGAGAAAATCCTTTAAATGGTTTATTGTATTCAATTTTTGACTTAAGAAAATTAATCAATACAATTTCTTTTCTGGCCAGGATTCTATGGGCAAAAATGCTATTAAATAAACAAAAATATACTTTGATAAGTATTGATCTTTTTTTATAATTTTCACAAAGTTAATTTTGCTTATATTTTAAATATATTGCTGCCATACATGTTATATCTCTGGTACTTATGATTTGAAAAAGCCCAAGAGAGTTTATCTGGTCAATCAAGAACAGATAAATAGTGAATTAGTTATAACATTCTGTCTAATCAGACCTTCTTTGCTGATTAGGGTGAAAAGATTTTCATTGGTTCAATTTTCTTTGGAATTAATATAGAATATTTACTCTATTTACATTGTTTGGGCTATGTTTCCCCATCTTTGTTGTCATAATCACAATGTTTCAGCCGTTGTACACTCCAGCTTTCTTCAGGTGATTGGAATTTCGAACCAAACCCTTTATTTTATCAATTGTTTGAGTTCCATGTGCCAGATGAGGACAACAGTCCAAACAATGTAAATAGTTACAATACCTCCTCTCAGAAATAGAGACAATATATATATATATATTACATACACACTTAACATTGTTACTGACATGTACTGCTTGCCTAAAATCGATGGTTAAGTTTAAGCCTAAGAAAAATAAACTGAAAATCTAGCAAAATTAAGAAAAATGTTAATATGGTAAATGACTGGTAAGAATTTCAAACACCATCTCAGCTAGATGGCCCATCAAATATCAAGTATATTTGTACATTTTTTCATTCTTTGATTAAGGTATACTATATTTTTAAAGATATGCTGGTTTTGGAATGGATATTACTGCAGGAGGAGGAATTGCAGAGCAGAGTTCAAACTCTAGCCCAATCTGATATATTCACTTTCACACAAATGTCTTGAGAAAGGCATGAAACTATCTTTTCTTCCTCTAGTTAGACTGGGCTCTCTAGCCTTGGATAGCAACCAGTATTAAAAAATAAAGAAAAAAATAAAGAAAATTCTGAATTCAAATCATGGAGAAGGTAACAAACCCACATCATCTACCCCAAGAAGGTATGGCAATTCACAGTTAATAAAATCAAGGACTCTGTGGAGAGGCATCATCACCTACATCCCAGAGAGACATAGCAGCTAAAAAATTCATAGTTAATAAGTAAATTTCTGTGTGTTAGTTAAGAATAAGTGATTGACAAAGTACATAAAAATCTCTTTGTAAATGTTAGGTGTTAGTAATTTTTAAATATCAGATTTTCAGATAAAAACTTAATTTTTTAAATATATGAAAAAATACTGAAAATTTTATTGTCTTGTGCATTTAGTGCACCATGTCAAATGTCAACAAAAATTTGTTGGCCATTAACATCATTTGTTGCATATTTTTGTATTATTTTATGTTATCTTAACATTAATTCATGACACTTTAAAATAATTATTTTTATTATGCCACTTTTTCATATAAAAATCTATTTGTTGTACAATAAAAATGTAAACAAAACCAAAAATATGATTGTTTATTTTCCAATGAATTGGTCAACATTTAACCACAAATAACACAAAATTCTTTTGATTCTTATGATCATAGTTCTTATGTGAATATTAATCGGCATTCAAAGAGCTTTTTAAAGATATACAACTTGACTATATTGGGAGATATGAATACCAAAATCTGCAATTTTGAATTTGACCCAACTCGGTAAAACACTTCTAATTCAGGCCACAGTCAAAAGTTCGCCACAAAGTTTTATACATATCTTGTCATAAAGCAGACAAAAATGTTGTCAAATTTAAAAAAAAAATTAAACAGACATATTGAGAAATTAACAGTGAAAGTTTAGAGTCAAGGTCAAATTATCTTATTTGACCTTTAAACAAAAAAATAAATAAATAGATCACCTTTTAGATCTCTCCAAGTACTTTAAAATATTATATAATTTAGCTTTGTAAGTGAAAAAAAACAACTAAGATATTGATACTTAAACTTTGTGACTATTTTCCAAAATTCACCTTTTTGGCAAAGGTCAAAGGGTCATATCTGTGGTACCTTTAACCTAGAGATGTAAAGCATGCACCATTCAATTTCTATTATATACAATTGTAACAAATTTGAAAAAAATCTGTGGTCAGATGCTGTTGATTTGACACAGAATGACAATATGAGATATTGTGTGAATGACAATATGAGATATTGTGTGAATGAAATACATGTTTTTATAGTCTCTATATTTTGGATAAATTATAAATAAAAAATTAAATTTCACTTTGTTGCTTTGCATGATAAAATCTGACACTCACAAAACAAGTCATTATCAATATTCTTTTTTTGTAAAGACGGATATTATAAACATATTGTTCATGTAAATATATAAGTATATCCAGAATGTTTTACCAACATCAGTTGATTAATACCAATAGTTTTGTGACAACATTGACTTGCAGAATATTTTGTATACATTACAAAATTAATATAAGTAATAAAAACAAATCATGTTTTTGTCATCCAATAGAATGATCATCTTATATATTCCTTTTTTTTAGAGATTTTTTACAAAGGAGCCAAATGAAGGGAAATATTGAATACAGGACAAACAACTTTATTTCATATAATGTTTATCCAATATATTTACATTAGTACGTATGTAATTAATATTTGACATTTTTCTATTGTTTTGTCAGACTACTTTTCATTTTTTTTATTCTATTTAAGAATCTTCAAGCATTGAACATTGACTGCTAAATGAGTTTCTTCTCTAGACATTCATTCTTTGTAGACATTTTCTAAATATAAACAAATAAGTGCTGATTCACAAATGAATTGTGTGTTACAAGTTACATTTATACAAGTTTTCTTATGATAGAAATTTAACAAATATATTTACTATTTTAAAATCCCCTTTTTCTGATATCGATGAAGAAATGAATGTAAATAGAAAAGAAATTCAAAACATATTGAATGTTACTTCTGTTTTTCAAATGAAACAACCCTCTTGGTTCAATGAAAATCTAAAAGATTTTTTTTAAATCTCTTTGGAAAAAAATTCCAAAATATTACTTGGTTGCATTAAAGATTTGTTAAATTTTGTAGAGATCATTTTAAAAGAAAAAAAAGAAAACAATTTTAAACTACTACTTCTTCAGTTGATGACTTATTCTCCAACATGAATCCAGGAAAAAGGAATCAAAATATAGTTGTTAAAAATGGATCAAAGGCTTATTCTGAATTAAACATTCCAGACAGATAGTCCTAATTATAACATTACTAGCAGCATGTCGTGGCATTGCCCATGTTTGATTCAAAAATTGTACGACTCATACAGCAATCGCTATCACTTGACTTAAAATATTTTTGCCCTTCCTTGCCTTTAAAGGAGTGCTCTTTGCCGTGCTGATGTTGCTACATGCCTTACTTCTTGCCTATCTCACACTGCAAATTTTTTCTAAGCTCTATACTAAACATTAAATCTCTTACGAAAAAAGAACTAAACTAAATGAACACAAAACGATCAGCTTTAAAAAAGGACTCGTAACTGGAAAAACCGAATGAAAAAAACATGTTAACAACAAATACTTTTTCACACCCAACCCAGTTCTGTGAAATCAGAATCAACATCGAGTTTAAGCAAACGAATGAGCCAATTGGAGTAAAGTGCCATGCAGATTTAAATTTTTCCCACTTGTGATGAATGCAGCTATCAATTTTTTTTGCATGCTAGCATGCTAGTTAACATTCGTGTCAGTCAGCTGTTGGCTCTCACGCTAACCAATAGAATCTTCCTGCTTATTCGTGGCAGCCAGCTATAGGCTCTCACTCTGGCCAGTACAAAATGGCTGCAAACTACATGAAAACTGCCATAGAAGCATGAAAAAAATTGATTTCCACTATCGATGGGAGTTGGGAAATGCAAAGTCAGTCTTGGCCTTCCCGCTAACTTGGAGCATGTGCATGTAAATTTGATGCAAATCCGTCGAAAATTGCAGCCATGCATTCATTACACACACACACACACATCCTGCCTTTTATAGATAGAGATCTTGGCCAAATTGCAATTAAGTTTTCTGTTGTAGTTACCTTTGAAGTGTTATTATGTAACAATATTTAACATGGTGTATGGACAAAAACGATTTTTTTTTTTTTTTTGTCAGAAAGACTTATTTTCCCAGGATAAGGGAACAGATGTATGAATTTTGTTGAAAAAGTTACACAATGCGATTCAGCTAAGCACAGCTGGTAGGTCGGGAGCCAGAGGTTAAGGTTGTCTGCTGAAAGGTGTCAATGGGAAAATTGTCAGCCAAAATTTCCCTGAGAAAAAATTAAAAGCAGAAGATGACGTCAGGAAGGCTGACATCATATAATGGCTCCTCCCAAAGGAGGAGGGGATCTTCCAAAATTGGAAGTGTGAAATAGAAAACGAAAGAAAATGCTTGGTTGAATTTTAGATTTGCATAAAACCCACCTATTCACCCACACCACACCATTTCGAAGGGACACCCATAAATACAAGTGCCCATGGAGGCAGTTGCATTCAGAGGCAGTTGGAGTTGCAGTTGTAGTGAAGTTGCGACGAGGAGTTAAGAAATTTCTGCCATAACACTGTGTTGCCAACCTAATGATAATAATAATAATAATTATCTGCTGAAGAAGAAAAACTGACAGAATCCTTGTGCCATCCGTGAAAGTACAAACAACAGTACTTGAAGTTAAATACAGTTGTCGCTGAAGAAAGACTGACAACAAACCTTGTGCTGTTCTGGAAAGTACAAGTCACAGTACTTGAAGATAAATACGGTTGTCAAGTCTGGCCACCCTTAAAGAAGTTACCTGAAATTTTCATTCTGTCGCCAAATGTTAGAACGGGTTGGGAAAAGAAGAAAAAGTACAAAAAAGAACTGTAAATATTTTTTTTTGTTATTTTGATATAAACATTATATTCGGGCGTCGTCCATCTTATTTTTCAATTTTGTGTGCGCGTATTCAACTCCTTGGTTTAGTTTGGTTGATACCTCAATGATAACTCAGCTTGACCCTCTTAAGATCAAAAATCACAACGTGGGTAAGAGAGGTCATAGTTGAAGAGGTCAACTTAAAAACCAGCTGCTGTGTCAAACACCATCAACAACCGATGTGTGGGCTGATGACTTGTTCTCTGATACCAGGATCGATCCTGACCAAAGTGAGCAGACCAGGATTTGACCCAGAATAATGCCATATTTGGTTGCCGTGACTGGGATTGACCCTGAACGCCACCATAACTGTTGGCCGTGACCAGGCCGTGCCCGAAATACCGTCATAATTAACTACTGTCAGAGTGGTTTTCCCAAATGATCTGAAGAATCCTTTGCATCAGTTGGGAGGACCACATCACCAACAACAAGGTCCTCTCTCAGACATCTCTCCTTAGCAACAAGGCTATCATCCTTCAATGGGTGGGTCACATATCCAGAATGTGTCCCACTCGACTCCCACATATCATCCTGTTTGGAGAACTCGCCAGCAGCAAAAGGCTATGTAGAAGCCTGAAATGATGCTTCAAGGATCAACTGTAAACATCTCTGACACAGGCCAACATCAACCCTGAGACCTGAGAAACCATTGCTGCAAATCGGCTTTCCTGGCATAAGATCATCCCGAGGGGAGAGTGAGACTTTTCAGTACAACTGCCAACACGAAGAGGATGTTCAACATGCTGTCAGGAGGGACCAATTTGCCCAGCTGTGTCCACCACACACACTCCTCAGAGACTCCTTCTCACAACTCTTCAGTAGTACACTGGGCCTTCAAAACCATCTCCATCACCACCACCAGAGGGGAGAAAGGGAATAAGAAGAGAGGATGATGTGAGTGGGTGGCAACTATTATCAAATATTTAGTTTAATAAAATTCTTTCTAATGATTATTATTCATTTTTTAAACTATTTTTCTTCCATTTTGGTAGTTTTCTTAAACTCTGACATAATTTGAATATTCCATGGCTTACATAAGCAGCAAAGATCAAAAATAAAAGACAAGCCTGCTCTGAGATTTGAACTCCAAGTTGTAAGTTCAGGATTATTCCACATGACAAATAGCCTAGTGGATTAAAGTATTGTTTCATGAATTTAATGACATGGTAATTATGAACAGTGGAAACAGGCAAGGAATAACTGAAAAAAACAAGATATCCTTAGATGAGCAGAGCAAGAACACTCTACCAGACACCCTTGTAAATTAAATAAAGCTGCTCGAGACATTTATGCCGTGTACGGAGATGACTTCATTACTGACAGAATGGCATTGAAATAGTTTCCCCCCATTTCAATGTAGGGAAGTGAGTTTGAATTCACAGATGTTCCACATCCTGGCCAAACTGTTCAGTTTAACAAGAACCATTTGCATACACTGATTAAAGAAGAACTGCGCAAAACCACATGTTACTATCACTCGTCATCTTCGCTCAATGTGTAATGTCCAGAAACACAGCAAATAGGTGCGGTACACAGAAACAAACTCTAGCGCTCTTCTGTTGCTGAGAGATTACTAGCATGCAATTGGATCTGATCAAACTGAACAGGTCAGCCAGAATGCAGAGCATCTGTGAGGTTGAACTTTCCTTCCACGGAACTGGAAAACCATTTTTGAGTCATTCTATCAGTAATAAAATCATATCCGTACACAGCACAAATGCCTCAAACAGCTTTTTGATCTTGAATAAAAACAAAGAGATGTCAAACATGGTCATTCTTGTCTACTTGGTAGGAATGTCTAATCTGAAATAAAATTTCAATAACATTAGGCAACAGTTTCAGAGGATGACCAGAATTACTAAAAAGCAAAACATGTTACAAAAGATCATTCTTCGAGATCATTCGTAGAACATCAGAAAAAAAACAAACGAATATATATAACACCCAAATACATAGTTGGTGTTTCTGAAATCCACTTTCCAATTCTTAGTTCAAGAAGTGTTCCTTTGGAGAATATTGCTTTTATGCTTTAACTCTTCCTTTAGATTTTCAAGATTACTACTGATGACCTTTGATCAATGCCAAAGGTCAACAATAAATGCTCCATTTGTTAACATAGAAACAATGGTTTGAAATAGAAATAAGCTAAAACACTATTAGTTTTCTATACAAATAAGGCCAAAGGTAGTTTCAGGGTGGTTTTCTAAAGGTACAACCATTTCACTCATGGTGGCCCAATAAACTCAGATTGCAAACATTGTGAGTTTGCAAAACAATTTAGTCTAAAAGTCTTAACAACTGTTGAAACAAATATGCAAAAATTTTCTAGTTTAAATTTTCCCTGATTTCCTGGGAAATTATGTTGGTTGTTACTAAGAGTAACGTATTCTACGTGTGATAGGACAGCAAAAACAAATACATTATTATATAATTGCATATGTGAAATCATCACACTCACCTTTAACATCCATCATCCAAGAGAAAGGAATATCAGCAACAATGTAACTAATTGGTCCCCAGTTTGTCAACAAAGCAATGTCTTTATTCTGCCATCCAAATATATCATATCCTGACTGGGCAAGTGGGCCCCATGTGTTCCAGATGGCAGCCTGGGCAAGGGAGAGCAAACTGAAGGTGAGAAGAATATACCACCTGCTTTTGTAGATACGGATCCTATCTGTAGGTTCAGGAGAGGCACAACTGCCAGAGTGGGGCTCATCAGAGCCACTACTTGCAGAAGCATTGTTGATGCTTTCCTGTTGGAGGAATGGAACTGTGACATCATCTTCATCCATTGGGAATAGTTTACAAGGAGCTGCAAAGAGAAAATACCTAATTACAGAAGAGAAATAAGTGAATACTACTACCACTACTACTACATAAAAAGCATATGGATATGGAAAAAAAGCACTGAGATTTTTACATTCAAACTTTTGGAATTAAATTTTTTAAACTTCCTATTAAGAATTGTGCCACTGAGGTTTCTTCTTAGGTAAAAGCTTGTATTGATGCTTTTGTACCATCTCAGAAATACAGGTGAAACTACAATCTTCCTCTTGGTTCACACCTGCCTGTTCAGCCTCTATAGCCCACAGGAATTACTTTTAACATGACAGTTCTGATCACTTAATAATAAGTCCACTAATAATAATTGTTAATGTGTCCCCAAAAGATTAAGTCTTTGTTCGCTGACAGAATGAAGCACTGTATAGCCTGAACAAGTTTGGTTCTTGTGACTACTGGTGGCTCTGTAATAGAGTGTTAAGTAAGAGTAAGTCTTCTGTACCTCAATTCAAGCAGAATGTTTCTCATAAATTCTCTTCTTGATTCATGTGTAATATCTTTGCCTGACTTTCTACTAAGTGAGGTATGATATGTATATAACTCAGTGCATGATATCTGCTAACATCTCTAATCTGGATCCCCACAAAGCATGTGGACGATGGTATTCCTGCAATAGTCCTTAAGAAATGGGCTCTTGTTCTCTCTAAACTCAACAATAAATGCCTTACTGCTTTCCTGCTTATTAGAAATCCTCTTCTGTAATGCCAGTCTTTAAGAACTCAGGCAAACCATCTGATCCTTTTACAAACCTATTAAAGCTCTTTTGACAAATTACTAGAGGTTCTAATTAACTATTATTATGTGCTCTAGAAATTTCAACTCTTTTTCATGTCTCCTTTTTGTTTCCATTGTCTCTAAAAATTTGTCATTGATCACCTATTCAGTCCATGGCATTCTCAGCATCCTTCTGTAGAACCACATTTCTGTTGTCTCAAGTCTTTTCTTCATCTTTGATGAGATTGTTCAGCATTCACTGCCATATAGGAGGTCTGACATTACATTGCAATTATTTTTTTTCTTTGTTCTAATCAGATTTTCCTGTTTCTTAATATGTTGCTTAGCTTTTGGAAGACATCTTTCACTATGCAAATGTGCCTTTAGATTCCAATATTACACTTTCTATAATCATCCTCCACCTATTTTAAACTTAATTACAATGTTATATAAAACATTGTTATCATCAATTGTTGCTAATAGAATAATAAAATACCATTATAATGTTTAGGAAATAAATTAAAAAGTACTGAAGGTTTTTAAACCTTCAGTACTTTTTAAATTTATTTATATGAATGAATACAAAAACAGATTCAATAACTTCTACTGTAATAAATAAAAAAGAAACCTTGAATAATTTTACATGGAAATGTTCTTATAAATTAATTTTCCTTCTCAGAGTAGCTTATATCAGACTTTAAAAATTGTTTACACCATTTACATCATTTGGACTGTTGTCCTCATCTTTATTGTCATATTCACACTGTTTCAGCCATTATATGCTCCAACCTTTTCAGGTGACATAAATTGGGATTTTGAAATGTACAACAGCCAAAACATTGTGAATATGACAATAAAAATGATAAAGACAACAGTCCGAACAATGTAAATAGTTACAATATTTCATCTCAGAAATATAGACAGATTTTTAAGAATTCTGTTCTACGCATTCATCTTCTATATAAAGAATATTAGCACATTCCAACTATTCACAATCAAAGATTTTCTTGCTATATTTATTAAAGCAAAATTATTTCCTATAATTAGGTTCTAATATTTTTCATATTCAGAGATAAAATAATAGAAATATATAAGTTTAAGCCCTTCAACCTTCTTTTTTCATTCAGGTTTTATAATAATTTTCTTGCTTTGTTTATTATAGCAAAATTAGTTCTTACTATTAGATCCTAATGTTTTTTCACATTTACATATAAATAATGCAAGTAGCTAAATTTTAGTCCTTCATCCATTATTTTTCATACAGATTTCATTCATCAGTTTAAAAAGAAGTGCCTTTGCTTATGAGCATAGTTCATTTATTAAAAAAAGATGTTTTTGTTTTATTGTTTTGTTTTTTTTTTAAATTAATTGCTTTTAAAATAAATATATCAGATTTTAATTTAAAGTTTTGATCTCCCTGGCATCATCCCCCCAAAAACTAATATTTTATTAATTACATTTGAACCTTACCAATCATATATGATCAGTTATGATTCATTTCAGTTATGACTCAGCTGGTCTTTCCCATGTATTCCAGAAAGGACAACTGATCTTCTGCATTCATTGAACTGTGTGAGGTCATATGATCCAGCAGAGCTTAAACATCTTCCTGGTGAGGCCAGCGTATAAAGCTGTTGTTGCCATTTATAAGCTATATTAGTGATGCTCCTATTACAGGTAACATTCCAAAATTATACTCTTGAATCATACAAAAGACACATGTCATTGTGAATTAGTGTCAGTTCAAGTATATCTCCTCTCCTGAGAATTACAAGTGCAATCCCTATGTCAGGTAGTGTGGAAAAACATGTTCTAGTACAATGTAACAGACAAGCAACACCAAGTCAAAATCAGTTAGAATTAACTGATATGAGATTATACGAATTAAATCCTATATATATTTTTCAACCAATAAAATCCCACCAGAAAGTTTGTTTGATAATCAATCATTACAAGGACAAATACCACCAAAATACTTATTGTAGACCTACCACATGTTATTTTTGGATCATTTAGAAAATAATAACTCCTTTCAACACTATCATGAATTTGAGAAAAAGATTTTTGAAACCCAGAAAATAATTTTCTAACTAATGAAAACCTTGTATTCAAAAAGTTCATACCTCGATGTGAAATTAGATTTCAGACCCCCTTTGCAGATATAAAAATAGAAGCCTACTGCTTATTGGTGTTCACAACAATTTCAGAGGCCAGTTTGATTTACATATGTGTACACACACACACACACACAATGGAAGAGAGTAGCCACCGACTAAGAGTCTTGTCCATGCACACAATAGAAGAGAATAACCAACAGCTGCCAATTAAACACTTGTCTACAAACTCACAAACACATTAGGTTGACCGTCATAAAGTAAGTCTGTCCACATATTTCACACGGCACTAAAATCACTCAATTACTTTCCAAAACAAATTTCACTGCAAGAAAAATTGATTTACACTATTTACATTGATCGGACTATTGTCTTCATCTTATTGTCATATTCACAATGTTTTGGCCTTGTACTCTCCGGCCTTCTTCAGGTGATATATGTTGGAAGTTCAAACTGAACCCTTTATTTCATCCACAGGGGGAAGATTTTTCTAGTTCCACGTGCCATGCCTTTTCCGGATATCTGTTTCAGTTAGTTCCCTTTTAGTAACTCAACCCTCCAAGTTTTTGTTCACCTCTGTGTGTTCTCAAGAACACATGGCTCATTGGTTGAAGTAATCCAGTGACTTGACCCAAAGAGTTGTGGGTTCAATACTTGGCCACAGTAGAGGTGAACAAAAACTTGGAGTTGAGTTACTAAAGGGAAACAGCTGAAACTGAGATATCCAGAAAAGGCATGACATGTGGAACTAGAACAATTTACCCCTTGGATGAAATAATGGGTACAGTTTGTAATTCCAACATATATCACCAGAAGAAGACCAGAATGTACAATGGCCAAAATATCACGTATATGACAAAGATGAGGACAATAGTCCAAACAAAGTAAATAGTGTAAATAGTTACAATACCTCATCTTTGATGAAATAGAGACAGATATTGAAGGAAAACTGAACATTTTATTGTTATTGTAGATTTCAGAAAAGAATATATGTTATTTCAACTGATGTCCTGCTTTTACTTTTCCTTCATAGAATAACCATTTTATGTTTTATTTAAATGATGTGTTATTGTTGTTAAATATTTGGGATCCCGACACTCGGGTAGCAACAAAAACCTGCTTAGGCAGATCCAACTAGATATTTTCACATCTATCATCTATTCCTATGGATTTAATAAAAGTCTGAGTCAAAATGCCAATATTACAAAATATAACAAACACCTGAAGAAGGCCGGAGAGTACAACAGACGAAAAATTATAAGTAGAACATCTAAAATGGAAATTATAATAGGTCCCCATCCAAAAATATCAAAATATACCTACTACTTTTATTTTATTAGCAAAAATCTATTATTTATTTACATTTGAAAAGTAAAACACTGTTGAATAAATAAGAATGTTTCTTCTAAGTTTTTATTGTTTTTATCAACCATAAGATATCATTGCATATGCCACTGATATTATATTTGTGAAACAAGAGTCTACAATTTGAATAGTTACAACAGTGCATGACTGAGAGAAGATATCCATGGTTTTATCTATCTTCTAAAGCAATAAATGGCAAATTCTGTCTGGCTGTCCATGTACTAAAACCCCTCTAAATCAGACCACACTTGCTCTACAGAGACATATTATACTATTTTGGAATCAGAGTGATCTTGTTATTGCTTGAACATCCAGGATTGTGATTTGTGCCTGGATGAGGGGGGAACAGTTAAAAATTCAAATTTTAAAACAACTGAAAAAATTAGTGATTTTAAAAGTTTTTATTTTAAATTCAGTTTAAAATATCTCCAAAACTTTGTGAATTGAGAAAACCAATTTTATTTCTTCAAAATGCCAAAGAATCAGAGTTAAACTGAGAAGTTTCATGATATGAGATTTTGAAGTTCCAGAGAGATTGGGATTTGAAGAACTCATTTTTCATTCTAAAGTGGTCTTTTAACTGGAATTTGACTTATAGCCCAAATCTGAGTTAAAGTAAGTTTTTGAAGTTCCATGGAGTGAATTGAGGAATTCAAAGTTATTTCTTCAAAATTATCATTTCTGTTTTCTGAGCTGAACCAGAAGCTCAATTAGTCCTCCACAGGAACTAGCTTAAAAATCAACATGGAGAGCAGCTT